GAAAGTATAGTTATTGATTGAATTATACTGAAACAAGAAATAAAAGTCCTTAATAGTAAATTATACTGCTTTTATGTAGCCAAGATTATCTTTTACAGTTTTGATATTTATAACAATAGTGTAATCATTCATAATTCTAAGTACTTTCTATATTTTCTACATCCATAAAAGATTATTTTAATGAATGTAAATACATGTAATTCATAGCATGCATCAGTCAGGATAGGTTAGATTATGCTACATTAACAAAAAGTCCCCCCAAATATTACTGGTCTATAGTGATAAATGTTACCTCTTATTTTGATTAATAGTATTTATGCAAAGTAAGCAACACAGTGCCTAGCAAATAGAGGCATAATAAATGTAAATCATTATGAAATCAATAAATTTAATGGTTTTATTATTTTTTAATAGTAGTAAACTCATCATATAATACTAAATAGTTCCTAAATTAATGTGCAGTGATTCTGTGATTACACGATAGATTACATGATATTCTCATCAACACTGTGGGAAAATATACTGTGAATGACTTAACTATGGGTTGTCTATAGCTGACCAACAGGTTATATTCAGAGATATTTACATTATATCACTGTCATTATAAATTAAATACTCTATGGTTAAAATTATCTTAATAGCTACACTTAGGACTTATAGAAAATCCATTGACAAATTTGCAGAGTAGTTGTATGTAATTGATAAATTGCTTTAAATTTTTTAAGCTTTGATTTCTTCACTGAAAAGTTGAGGATCATATCTATACTGCTTATTTCACAAAACCAATTAAGCCTGTGTGTAAAATATATTTTTATATATTTTATATATCTTTGTTTTATATATATGTGTGTGTGTGTGTGTGTGTGTGTGTGTGTGTCAGCATCAAAAGCATTTAACAGACTATAAAATGATACAATGCAATTTCTTTTACAGAGATGTTCCTTGTAAGAATTCTAAGTCATTATGAGAATGATTGGTTATGTTAACTAGAGTCTATATAAGAATCCAAAATGTTTATATAGCTCAAGGAGCAAAAAGTATCTGTTATTGGAAAAATTCAGGGCGGTAGGATTCATGATAAAGAATACGTTTACTGACATCACTTCTAATATATCCAGAAACAGGAAGATTTGTTAGCATTAAATTCATAAGTGATGAATGCAACTCTCTGTCATGTTTTTTTGAATAATGTATAGTATTCATTTTGGGGGTAAGAAGGATTTGAAACTGAAGAAAAAACCAAATGTCAGCTAAAGCTAAAACTTACAAAGAGGGTTGATGATCAAGGTGTTCAATAGAATTTATATCCCTAGGGCCTGACACTATTTCTGACAGGTATTTGATGTTCTATATGTACTTGTTGACTAAATAACAAGATGTGACTTTTCAATCATGATTTTGTTATTTGGCTCTCTATTTAGAAAATTTCTCTATTTAGAAAATTTCTGGAGAAATTTTCTAAAATTGTGTAGGGGCGCCTGGGTGGCGCAGTCGGTTAAGCGTCTGACTTCAGCCAGGTCACGATCTCATGGTCCGTGAGTTCGAGCCCCATGTCGGGCCCTGGGCTGATGGCTCGGAGCCTGGAGCCTGTTTCCGATTCTGTGTCTCCCTCTCTCTCTGCCCCTCCCCCGTTCATGCTCTGTCTCTCTCTGTCCCAAAAATAAATAAAAAACGTTGAAAAAAAAATTTTTTTTAAATAAAATGGTGTAAAAATGATTTACACAATGTTGTTGAGTGGTTGAAATAAGGGCATAATGTTTCTGAGTGACTCATATTTGAATATTTGAGTTTTGGTGTATATTTTCAAAAACTTCATATTACATACTATTCTGCTTTAACTTAGATGAGAAGAATCTATTATCCTATTTCCTTTTAATTTATGTCAATCATCCAGTGAGATTCCACTAATGCATTAAAGTCTCTCTATGTGATTTTCCTTATTATATGAAGTTAATATAATACTGGGAATACACTCAATTGCTTCATCTATCCAAAAGTACAATCAGTATTCTATTTACCATTCATTATTGTGGCACACATTTCTAAATAGCCACAACAGCCTAATCTACAAATGCTACAGGTAGGTAGGTAGGTAGGTAGGTAGGTAGGTAGGTAGATACTACTTTTTGTTAGTTTTAGGGGTACATCAAGATGGAATGCAAGGTACAACTCAGTGTATCCGTTTAATAAAATGCATTGAAAGGAGTTTTGCAGGAAGAATTTGAATCTATCCAAATGAAATAGGATCTTTAGGGTCTTGCCAAGTATGGTATTAAAAATAATTATTATGGGATTTAACTGTTACATAACCTATTTAAAACCCAATTTTTATAATAAAATCAAAGCTATTAATTTACCTTTTATAAAAGCTTTTTTATATTACTGGATAGATTTTTTTTTCTTTTTGTCTAACTGCACTAAATATGCATTATTTAACAAAAAAAGGGAAAACTGGCATTAAAAGTAATTCTAAATAATCTTCTACCAAGACATTCTCATAGGGCAGCAGTACCATTAAGCATTGGAAAAATTAGCTTCGTATTTAATTATGACTAAATTAGGGTCTCTAAAATTGTTAATATAACTTGTATAATGTAATGATTCTGTTTTCTTTTTCAAGATGCTTCATTGGCCTGGTAGAATTAGAGAGGGCTCTGCTGATCTAGTCTAACCCCTCATATTACTTACGAGGACACAGAGCTCCAGATAAGAGTGAGATTCTAAAAGTAGTTGACAGGCAGGAAAGCCAAGAACACAGAGTGCTGTGATCTTTGAAGCAGTGAGTACACGTGGAACAGTTTTTGCCTTGCAGATTTGTCATGTGGTTTTTCTTGGAGTAATTACAGTCACTTTTAACCTGAAAGTCACTAGAAACGTTTTTACTCCAAGAAGCCAATCCACTGTACTAAGGCTTTCTTCTTCATTCCCCTTGTTTGCCCAGGCATTTTGATAATAGTAACAACTAATATTTGTATAGAACTTTTCAATTTTAGAAAAAAAAATTTATATTTCACATCTCATTTGACTCACAACAGTTATCAGTAAGAAAATACTATTCTCACCCTTTAGATGAGGAAACTGAAGCCAAAGGAAATTTAATGCATCACGCAGATCATTTAAGTAGCTGGCAGAGCCAAACTTGAACACAGGCCTTCTGACTCCAGAGCCTTTTTGCTCTTTCCAGCTCTGTATAGTTGAGAGTTGTTGAAAGGTGCTGAAGGATTTTTAAGTCAGATTATTGTCATGTCACATCATTTTTAAGAGGTCTCTGGTCAACCCTTTTGTTATGTGACTAACAATGTTTAAAATTAATAATGGCTACCATGTATTGAATGCCTGCCATGGGCCAGGCAGTGTTGTAGGTGCTTACTATGTCTGACTCTGACTCCCAGAACCTGTGACATACTGCTACGGTCTCTATTTTAGAAGTGAGGTTATGCTACTTATCCAGTAGGCAATTAAAACATAGGACTGAGGTGCCTGAGTGGCTCAATCTATTAAGCCTCAGACTCTGGATTTTAGCTCAGGTCATGACCTTATGGTGGTGAGATGGAGCCCCGTGTTGGGCTCCATGTTGGGCGTGAAACCTGTTTAACATTCTCCCTCTCCCTCTCCCTCCCCTTCCCCTCCCCCCCACCCCTCTCCCCCTTCCCCTCTCTGACTCTGTGTCTGTCTCTCTCAAGAAAAAAAACAAAAAAACAAAACCTGGGATTAAAACTCCAGTCTGTTTGCCTCCCAAGCTTCAACTTCGCAGCTGTACCCAAGATTCAGTATCCTTATAGGAGAATATATGCATATGTTTAAAGCAGTATCATTCTTTGTGTACTAACTCTACACTGCATACATGGCTACTCATATACATAGGAATATGTATATCCAGATCTTAATTTATTGACCTAGTAACTGAGAAAATAACTACTACTGGTTCAGAAGCTCATGAAATTCAAAAAGAAGATAAATCAGTAGCTGTATGGACCAGTATTATAATTACTAGGTGCCAGGATAAGTTTTTTTCTTCCTTGTAATAATGTTAAGTAGTAATGGATGCTTTTTTATTGAGATGTAATTGACATGTAACATTTATATTAGTTTCAGGTATGTAGTGGATATTTTTAACAAAATATCCATCTGACCTACCTACCTTAAATGAAAATGTTTAGAAACTGTGTTCAATTTAATGATATTATACTGTCTTCTGAAATTTTATCTTCTGTAATTACTAGTTAGGTTCAGTATTTCTATTTATATATGATTTTATTACTGTTTTTTTTTAATATTTTTGCCTTTAAAATTTTTTTTTAATCGGCTTCTAAGCTACAACTATCAAAACTGTAGAAGGCTTCTCTTTCAGCCCCTATTTTTTTACAAAATTATTTTGAAGAGTTGTTTTCACTGAAGTGATTTTTATTTGCCACAGGTATGCAGAAAGATACCAGCAGTGTGAGCTATGGGATGGCCAAGCCCTTATGCAGAAACAGAGGAAAGACCTGTACAGCCACCTCTTAGCTAAGTAGCATGTTGTTCACTGGCTCAATATCTCCTTTCAGGAGGAAAATGGGCCTCTAACCTTCCCAAGTTCTAATGTGCAGAGAAAGCATAGGAATTCACAAAGAGGAAATTTATTCCAGTTTTGAAGTTCTACCTAGTTCCTGCGACCAGGCCCTCATGGCTTCCAGCGGGGCATTCTCCTGTCATCCTTTGTTTTATCTAGAAGTCTTGTCCCACACAGGAAGGTCTAGGGAATCAGGCATTTAACAAGAGCATAAAAGTCTCCCTGAGTTTTCAAGTGTTCAATTTCTAAGCAAATCTGAAGGATATATATAATTCACATCCCATAATTTTATGCTGTTAACATATCTTCAAGGGAAGTTTTAAAAGCAGCATGGACTAGACTTTGATGCTAATCAAGAAGACACATTTATTAAATAGTGTCCTCTGTAGCATTATTTTAGCTATTGCATATGCCACTTTGACAGTTTGTTATTATCTTTTTTATCTAGGTCGAACTGGAAGGTACACTCTTATAGAAAAATGGAGAGATACTGAAAGACACTTAGCGCCTCATGAAAATCCTATCATATCCTTAAACAAATGGGGGCAGTATGCTAGTGATGTACAGCTAATTTTACGTCGAACTGGGCCATCTCTTAGTGAGCGACCCACTTCAGACAGTGTGGCTCGAATTCCTGAAAGAACTTTATACAGGCAGAGTTTGCCCCCTTTAGCCAAACTGAGGCCTCAGATTGACAAATCAATCAAAAGGAGAGAACCTAAAAGGAAATCATTAACATTTACAGGAGGTGCCAAAGGATTAATGGACATTTTTGGAAAGGGTAAAGAAACTGAATTTAAGCAAAAGGTGCTGAATAACTGCAAAACAACAGCAGATGAGTTAAAGAAGCTGATTCGGCTACAGACAGAGAAGCTTCAATCCATTGAGAAAGAGCTAGAATCAAATGAAATCGAAATACAGTTTTGGGAGCAAAAGTATAATTCTAACCTTGAAGAGGAAATTGTCCGCCTGGAGCAAAAGATCAAAAGAAATGATGTAGAAATTGAAGAGGAAGAATTTTGGGAAAATGAATTGCAGATTGAACAGGAAAATGAAAAACAGCTGAAGGATCAACTTCAAGAAATAAGACAGAAAATAACAGAATGTGAGAGCAAATTAAAGGACTATTTGGCTCAGATCCAGACTATGGAAAGTGGTCTTGAAGCAGAAAAATTACAACGGGAAGTTCAGGAGGCACAAATCAATGAAGAAGAGGTTAAAGGAAAGATTGGTAAGGTCAAAGGAGAAATTGACATTCAAGGCCAACAGAGTCTGAGGCTGGAAAATGGCATTAAAGCTGTAGAGAGATCTCTTGGACAAGCCACCAAACGATTACAGGTAAGAACATTTTTATAAAAAGGATGTTTCGTCTGTTTAAAAGAATTAATATATTCTTGGCATTTTCTTTAATGATTGTCCATTTTCTCTTATATTGAAAGTTAGAAAGCTATCTTGGCTTATAAGTTTCTTAGAATTTCTGTGACTTACAACAAAGCTAAGATGTGAGACCAAAACAGAGATGAGCGCTAAAGCCACACTGATCCTTGTTCCATGGCAACAGGTTTCTTACTGTGTGTCAGTTGTAACATTAGGTAATTGGATACAGAGAATAGAACCTCAGAGCTGGAATGGACACTAATGATGAGATAGTGAATCTGACCTTCACTCCTTTTAAAGATAAGGAATCCAGTGCAAAAGAGATTACTGCAGATTGGTTTGCCAGGGACTGTGTGGCTAGTTAACTGCTTATCTATTACTTCTCCATTGTTGCTAACCCCATCTTTCTTGAGATGTAAATAGTTCCCTTCTCTCCACATTACTTACTCTCCTTTGCTTTCCTGAGGAGAGGGACACAGAGGTTCCTCTCTGATTTTCCACTCTCTGGTTCACATACGAGAATATTTATATTTTGCCATTAGGTGCTGATTACTCAACTTAAATTTCTTAGACACCCGTTCTTGAAAAGAAAATGTGATGATGTTAGGAGAATTACAAAAGAGGTATTAAAAATAAATAATAGTTAAAATATTAAATATTAATATTAAATAAAAGCTTAAATAGTACATAAATTCACATTTCTGATTTTTGTTACATTTGGCCACATTTCAAATGCTCTGTGGCACATGCCTAGTGGTTGCTGTATTATTGATCAGTGCTGGTTAAGAAGCTTGCTATTCAGAGTGATCCATGCAGTTCAGGACACATTTGTTAAAAATTCAGAATCTATATTTGTAATAAGGTGTCCAGATAGTGCCTACGCACGTGGAAGTTTGAGAAGAATTTCTCAACTGGAATATCAACAGTTTTATCAGCAGAGAAAGCTGAGCTTTCAGAAAGAACTTTCATGATTTCATTTCTGTGCCACTAACCATAGTGAGAAAGAAAACTGCCACCAAAATTTTGAAAATTGAGAATTTCTCATGCAGTGGAAAGTTGTTAACCTCTGATTTGTCAGTATTCTACTATTTGGATTCACTTTGACCCTTAAAAAGGATACAATTGGAAGTTGTGTTGCCTTTGCTATTATCTACAGGAAACACTAATTCTTGACAGCCATTACTAGTAAATCTCACCACCCATTGAAAAATATTTCATAATCAAACTAACATATCTCCAAGTACCTGCTACGCTCAAAGTAAGTGGAGGAAGCAACCACTCATTTCTGGTATCTCTCCCCTACCCCTGCCAGGTTCATCAAACAGACTCAACCTGGATGAGTCCTTGCCACTTTTCCCTATAGTGCAGTAAAGGAGAGAAAGAGAACTTCATCAATGCCTTTCCTTGTTTTTTGAGCTTTCTGGCTGTCCAAACTTGATCTCCTTTCTTTAAAGATCTTCGGGGGGCGCCTGGGTGGCGCAGTCGGTTAAGCGTCCGACTTCAGCCAGGTCACGATCTCGCGGTCCGTGAGTTCGAGCCCCGCGTCGGGCTCTGGGCGGATGGCTCAGGGCCTGGAGCCTGTTTCCGATTCTGTGTCTCCCTCTCTCTGCCCCTCCCCCGTTCATGCTCTGTCTCTCTCTGTCCCAAAAATAAATAAACGTTGAAAAAAAAAAAAAAATTAAAAAAAAAAAAATCTTCGGTTCTCAGATCTGTCTTTGCCAAGGATTTAATTAAGAACCCCACAGTGAAAATCTTGTGGGAACTTTGCTTTCCTCATGCTCTAATATAAATCTCAATAACAGATCCCACGAACACTTGAACAGTCCACCAAATACAAGAACTTTTCTGAGTCTCACAGACCAAATGACTATGAATTTTACAGTCGGTTTTGAAGTAAATAATAGGGAAATTTATTTGTGAACAGCTTATAGCAACATTGCTATAAACACTGGGATGGATGGAAACCGGTATTTATTGATGAAAGTCTATAGATATAGATTTATTTCATCAGGTGTATAGTGAATTCCTAACAGAGGAAAGCATCACATTTAAAAGGACAGACTAAAGAAGCTCTTCTTTATTTGCTTACTTTTTGGCCTGTGCCACAGAACAAAAATGACCTCTTTTTAGCCTCTTTTTAGCAAATTTAACACAGATTTGTTGACTGTGTTCTTGTGCAAGCAAGTATCACACACACAGCCCCCACAAGCAGATGGACTATCACCAGGATGTCTTTAGCTGGCCAATAGTGACTCCTCCAATAAAAAGAAAAATTTTAACTTCCATCTAGGACAAAGAACAAGAACTGGAGCAGTTGACTAAAGAGCTGCGTCAAGTCAATCTCCAGCAGTTTATCCAACAGACAGGGACAAAAGTTACCGTTTTGCCAGCGGAGCCCATCGAAGTAGAGGCCTCACATGCAGACATAGAAAGGGGTAAGGTGTTGAGAAATCTGCTCTTTTCCCTTTATTCTCACTGGTTAACTTTGAATAAACTGCTTGCATTCAGTTAAAACGTTAACCTGCCACTCAAAGCTTGGGCCACTTAAAAAAAAATTGATGTACGTCCTGTTTCTGGGGAAAATCAATAATAGTTAGGTTATTTCATTTACTTAGAAAAGCATGTAATCCCCAAATCTTCTGTCATTTGTTTTAAACGGCTTCTTTAAGAAACTTTTTCCTGACGTATGAGTCAAATTTTAGCTTCTGTTTCTGACACCTCTTCCTCCTCTCCTAAAAGTCTTTATTATTAATTTGTGCTGATATTTAAAAGATATGTATCATCCGAACAACCAAGAAAGAGAAGCAAAATGCTCACCTTTTTACAAAGATCATTAACTGTTGAAACCACTGAAAACTGTTTTTATCACTGAGAGGGTCAAGAAGACTTAGCCTTCTCCTCGTACCCCAGACCCCACGGGGGACTACAGTTTTACAGTGTAATGTTAGTTGGCTCTTCAGGCAGGAAAAATTCTAATTTTGCACGTTGCTAAGTCCTTCGAGTTGCTGAGTCCACAAAATGGCTTTCTTTGTTTTCTGTGTAGAGGCACCATTCCAGTCCGGGTCCCTGAAGCGTCCCGGTTCATCTCGGCAGCTCCCCAGTAATCTCCGTATTCTACAGAATCCTATCTCATCTGGTTTTAATCCTGAAGGCATATATGTATAACATTATCTGTCTTCAGGGGAGAGACCCAATGAAGGTACCAAGGACAGTGAAAATTCCTTCTTTGATTTGTGCCAATGATGAACAGAGGATATATTTCACAAGCCACCGTATCTTTTTTCTGTCCTAAATTGCATACCACTTGGAGCCATACCCTGTGCACTGATGCTAAAGAACAAAGAAACTGTGTTTTCACACATCAACAGTGTTGACGTTTTTGTCCAGCAGCTGTAATGCAAAGCCTTCATTTTTATTTGTAGCATTTTGAGAGCATTAGGAAAGTATTATACTGTGTGTATACATAAATAAAACCATGACAAGAGTGAAGAGAAATACGTGACTGGCTTAGTTTAATTTATTCCATATAATCGATTAATGGGTAAATGTTGATGTTTTAATATTTTTTATTAATACTTATCCTGTGACCTAATTACATTATATATGGTGTGATTATGACTGTGTGCATGTTGCCAGACTCCATCCATACATTGCCAATTTACAGCTCTACAGGTGTCATAGGGTGCTCCACCATCAAAACTAAGTCTTTAAGAACCCACTTGTATTTATTTTGTGTACCTGTCCTAACCATTGCTTAATTAGATCCAGTCATTCAGGTTTTCTTTTTAATCTGGACTTTAATCTTTTCTTTACAATATTTCCAGTACATGAATGACCACATAGCAGAATAGAAATATTTTCATGAGGTTAATTGTATCTTTAACAAACAAACATGTAACTGTTGACTATCCAAACAGGTGTGGGGTTTCCTGATACATTATGTGTTTTGTTTCTGCCCTGCCTTAATCACTTTAATCTCATGGGTCCTCAAGAGTTGCCATAATACATAAGTTAGAGATACCTGGTGGGTCTGCTTCAGAAAGGTTACTTTAGGTGATACATTTTTAAAATGACCCACTTCATATGTATGATCTGTTGGTGTAAGCACCCATGGGCAAGCTTTTGCTTGCACATAATTTACTCTGTACTTTATGAACTATTGCTAGTTCTCCAATCGGTTAGAGAGAAAGTATGTTGGAGTTAGGTACTTTTTGCAAAGGAAATTAAGTTAATCTTTTTTTTTTTTTTTTCCCATTTTTGAGCTTGACTTTTACATGTAGGACATGAGTCTCCATTTGTACATATATTTTCTCTATTTATAAAACCAAAAATGAGTCAATACCTCTCCCATGAGTGGTGACTTAACTAAGATTCACAAGTAATATCTGGATGGATGTGGTCAGATACCATTTAGCCATTTTTACATTCCCTCTGATCAAAATTTGGTACAGTATAATTAAGACTTTAAACTGAAATTTAAAGTAGTTTTTAATTCTGAGGAAAATATATTCTCTGTATTACATGCAACAAAGTAAAAGTGGATTAGTATATTAATGCCATGGTAACAATAAAAAGATGTAAGTTATATCTTATGCATGAGGGCAACTTTGGATGTTTTAACACATTTGACTTATTTTTGGTTTAATGAATGCTGAGAATGCTGCATTTAGGTTTCCAATGAAAACTTTTAAGAATGGCTATGAAAATATATAGAAGCTTCTAGAGAACTGAAAGTAATAATGCAGAGTTGCCTTTTCTAGTCCAGCTAAATGGCAGACCTCAACTAAAGATATTATTTTCTTTGGGTTCTTGGAGTTATCAAGTTGACTGTGCCATTATACTATTTTGCAAATAACTTGATAAATAAGTTATTCTTACCTAAATAACTACAGTCTGTACACATTTGCTCTCAATTTATAATAGTTATTTCATATCTACATATATTTAAAAATTAGGAGAATTAAAAAAATCAAAATAATTTGTAGATTTTGTGACAGCAATGATTTATGTATGCCCAATATATGCCTTATTTTTAAAGGGTTCCATCCTATACCAAGAGTCATTTTGTTATTGTTGTTCAGAGAAATTAAGATCTTATTCACAAAGAAAAACATTTTTATAAATTGATCACATCCTATTTAAATCAAAATGTTAAACTGAAGATATATTAAACTTTGCAGTTTGTAATTGCAAAGATGCCTTGGTGTGCCATCAAAAACACGAAGTCAATATCCAACTTAATTGTTGTAAATTATTATCAGCATTAACCTAATAACTTTAAAGAAAGACTGGCAGCATTGTGACAACTTTATCTGAATTTTCAAATGCCAGGTAATCTTTATGTACCTAATTATAGATAGAAATACTATTTCCTAGGTGAGAAGAATATATAAATGTGAATTTGATAAATACATTGAGCAGCTATACTTTTTAATCAGTTATATTACTTCTGGAAGAACATCTCTAAGAAATATTTTCTAAGTCTTTTTTTAAAATAGAAGAAAGAAAACTCATTTCCCTAGAACATCTTAAAAATATTGTAGTCTATTCCTGATCATTTTTATCTATTGTGAATATAGATGAGTTAGATTAAGTGCCACATCTTTTGGATACATTTCAGAGGGGGACAGTGGGCAATGATATACAAAAAATACCAAATATAAAATTTTGCATCTGGGGGAATATTCAGGTTCTAAATACTAAACTAGATTATAAGGTTTTTATTATTATTATTATACTTTAAGTTGTTGTTTTATTAAGATTTCCTGTATTAAGTACATTAGAAGATATTTTTTTCTTACCAAGGAACGATTTGAAATAGCACTGGTATATTTGACCCTTTAGAATGTCTAGCATCTTCAGAGAATGATCCATAGTTGGTTGCCTCAGTCCTTTTTTTTTTCCTTATGAGATATTTTGGTTGAGTAGCATGTTTTGTTTTGTTTTGTTTTGTCCTGATGCACAGGGAATTGATATGTGAGACTTTGGTTAGTATTAATAGTAGTTACCTATTTAATTCCCTCAGTCATCCCTGAATAATCATCAATTCCCATAGTTCAAATAAATCATAAACTAGAGCTAAAACAGTAAAGATGCAGAATTTATGGTGTGAAGTGTGATTATTAACAGTGTTCAAGAACAAAACACTTGCTTCCAGAGCATAAATAAATTTTGTACCTGCATTAAAAGAACATTTTCTTTGTGAATAAGAGAAAAACAGTCTTTAGAGTAAAGAAACTTCATTTAAAGCCATTTCTGTGAACATCTTTCCAAGTTAGAACTATAATAATGGATTGAGGAAATAATACGGAAAAGGCAAAAACTCTTGATTTCAGGTGTGCAAAGGATGTGGGCAGATGGGCATTTCCCTGTGTGCATTGCCTTTGAAAAATTGGGCCTTAATTTATATGTATGTAACAGTGCTGTGTTCACATCCCTCTTCTACCTAAAGTTGTCTTTATTAATCCATATTGTATTAAAATTTAGCTCATAAGTATTACTTTTATATTATGTCCATTTTTTTGCATGTTTATACTATTTGCTACAGTATTTTTAAGTTTTGGGTGAAGGCCATCAGCTGTGTGGAGAAGACAAAACAATCACTATTTATTCAGTATTGCTGCTTTACGTTTCCAGAATAAGCTTTCTATGCCAGGACAGTGACTGCTTGAAAGCTGCAGGAGCTCTATTCCAATGCATTTTATATATTTTTAGAAACCAAATACATGCAGATAACTATTTAGTATACTAATTATATTAAACCAGCAGAAATATAAAGGCAATAAAGTATATACATATATATATGGGGGGAGGGAAAGATTAAAAAATAGGTTTACAGCCAGACATGGTGATAGCCCTAAATATATTTCCAATCTGTCTTTTGGTATTGACCCAAGGAGGATTTGAGTTGCTGCAGCTTTAAACAGATAATTGCCACGTTCACTACTGTGGACACATAAATATGCTTTTAGTACTGCTTTGCTTATGTACCAATAAAATATCTGTAATATGTATTATATGTAATTCTTTTTTTTTTTGACTTTCATTTCAAAATGTATATTTTCTGATTATTATCATGAGCTGTAAAACAAAGGATCAGTATCTGATATTCTCCCAAGTAATAAATTTTCAGGATTCATTGGGGCATTACAGTTGCTGGTTTGTTTCTTATGTGTTTAATATTTCAAAATATGAGTTTGTTTTCTTTAAAAGATACTAAAGAGAAAAGGTCTGCATAACCGTGACATAAAATTACATTTCTCTGAAAGTAATGTTAAAAGAATTACCAATTGCTAGATAAGGTAGCTGTTTTATCCAAGTGAAACTTAAGAAATTAATGCCTCCCTTTTATTTCAAAAGCAAAAGGAAAAAATTGTATCTTAATGAACCTCTGTATTCTCAGATTTCTTTAAAACCATAAATGAGGGGAACAATTAAATACCTACTATGTACCCAGTACAATAATAGGAGACACATTGAGCCATGCAGGGAAACTCCTCCAAATCATACAACTAATGAATAACTTACAGGGCACTTGAACTTAGACCTTTCTGATACCAAAGTACTTTTCTATATTCCATGACAAACTACACAAGCTTTATAATGGTCAGTTTCTGTTTTTAATGTTAAAGTACATAAATTGTCATTTTTATAGTCTGTATAAATTATATCTTGACCAAGAAATTATACATATGAACAATAGTATGTTTAAAAACAATGGCAAATTATTAACAAAATAATGCAAAATACAAATTATTTTTGGCCTACTTTGAGGGAATTTAAAAATCTTAATTATCATGTCCTCCTCTATAGACGTTTGTTTAGTTAATGGCAGAGCAAGAAATAACCTTTCTTCACTTGATTCTTCACCTGCTGCCCACTTCACCTATTTGTGCTGCCTCTTAGGAAGGGCCAGCAGAGTCCTAGCTATTAAAACAAGCAGAAACTTGCTGGACACATTCTCGCCGTCTGTTGCCATTTCATGAGCCTTTATTGTTGGTCAGACATTGTACTGAAATTAGTATGATTTGCTTTGCACCTCAAGGAGGTTACAGTCTAATGATCACCGTTAAAGGAACAAGGATAGAGTGCCATGGAAATGCACCAGAAGGGCTTAGCTCTGGTCCAGAGTGTTGGCACACCCTGGAGAAGAGAATATAAACTGG